AATAAATCAAAAAATTAGTCTGGGTGGTGGTGTACCCCTCTACTTCCATTTACTTGGGAGGCTGAGGGAGAAGAATCACCTGAGCCCAGCAGGAGAGTCTGACTCAAATATGTGTGTGTGTATACACACACACACACACACACACACACACACACACACACACAATTAAATATAAAAGAAGTAAGAAAATCTCCAATAATCAGAACCATTCTCCCTTCTGTCAGCTTGTGTAATGCCAATTTGTTTTCTGCCATACTGCTAGCTGTCTTCTTGTTGGAGTCTTTGTCACCCAGGCTGGAATGCAGTGGTGTGCTCATGACCATGGCAGCTTCCACATGGTGAACTCAGGCAATCTTTCTACCTTAGGTTTCTTAGTAACTGGAATTGCAGGCATGTATCATCATGTCCAGCTAGTTTTCTAAGTTATTGTGTTGATGAAGTTTCTCCAAGTTTCCAAGACTGATCTTGAACACCTGGACTAGACAATCCTCTAACCTTGGCCTCCCAAAATGCTAGGATTACAGGTATAATCCACCATTCCCAGCCTCTACTATGTCTTGTTTTTAATCACCTGGCACTATGTTGGAAGCTCTCATCTCTCAAGTCATCTGCTAAACTCTAGTGTGGTGCCTCTTAGCTCTTGAATGTATTCAAGATCCATATTTTGGTACCCTTCCCACCTTTCTTTCTTTCTTTTCTTTTTTTTTTGGCCATAAGCACAATCACTATGTATAATTTCCTTGATTGGCTCTGGAGTGACCAATAGCTCATATAGAGACATTAGAATCACATAATGTGTTAATCAAAATCACAATTGAACTCACCACATAGAAGCAAGAAGTGGTCAAAAAATTACTAAATGCTAGTGTATAACACAGCTAATTTTAAAACTGTTATAATTTAATACTTCATCTTTACATTTGTTTATTAACTATTTATTGTGCCACGTATAATCTGAAAGTGCATAAATGTTAAGTTTGCTGTTGTATGTTAGATTTGTATGTTTGTTTGTTTGCTTGTTTTTTTTTTGAGTTGGAGTCTCACTCTGTCGCCCAGACTGGAGTGCAGTGGCCACTCCCGGCCACTGCAGCCTCGACCTGCTGGTCTCTGGCGATCCCTCTGCCTCAGCCTTCCAAGTAACTGGAACTACAGGTGCGCAATACCATGCCCGGCTAATTTTTTTGATTTATTGTGGAGATGAGGTCTTGCCAAGTTGCCCAGGCAGGTCTCGAACCCGCAGGCTCAGGCAATCTACTCACCTTAGCCTCCCAAAGGCGTGGGATTATAGGCTGAGCCACCGAGCCCAGCGTTTGCTTGTTTTTTGAGTGGATTCTCACTCCGTTGCCCAGGCTGGAGTGCAGTGGAACACTCATGGCCACCCCAGCATTGACCTACTTGGCTCCATTGATCCTTCCACCTCAGCCCTCCAAGTAGCCAAAACAACAAGCACACACTATCACACCTGGCTAAGTTTTTGTTTTTTAATTATTGTGGAGACGAGGTCGTGCCAAGTTGTCTGGGCTGGTCTTGAACATGTGACCTCAGACAATCCACTTGTCTCATCCCCCCAGTGTGCTGGGATTACTGGCTGAGACTCCGAGCCTGACCAGATTTGTATGTTTATTTTAGTAAATGGAAAAATAGAGTATGATATACATAGACCTATATTTGATGTATTCATGACATGTTAACTTGTGATACCAAATAACTTCAAGTAATAGGTTTGACTCTGAAAAACAAAATAATTAGCAATACACTAAACAAAAATTTTCACTGAAGAGCATTTGTCAGAGTTCTGTATCTGATTATAAACCACTATGGGTGACTGAGGCCTGTGTAGAAAGTTTGAAAGTGACCTCAGATACCATTTTAAGGTTTTACGGTAGATATTCTTTACAAAATCTTGACCTGATTTATAGGCAATACCCAGTGGTCCTGAGTAATGATCCAGGCAGTGGGTTCTAAACCATTGTAGGGGTGCCAATCTCCCAGACACTCTGCTCTCTCCAGTGGAATCCCAGTCCAGATGCTTTGGGAGAAATCCCTGTCTGGATCACACGTAGCTTCAGAGTTTTGTTGGGAGGCACAGGCTGTGACAGTCTGGAAATATTACCTTCACTGATGACTTTTTTGTGGATGTGGAAGTTGAAGCATAAGGGAGTGAAATTATTGGGTCACTTGGGATCTGCTAAGAGCAGATGAGAAAACCCCACTTTCTGGCACATGTCAGTGAGTCATTTTTACCAACCTATTTCAGCAGACCTGGAATCAACTTGAAGCTGATGGTGCTTCAGGTATTTTACACTTAATATTCGCTGACTCAAGTGAGGCTTGACTGGACAGTGTCTCTGAGACAGATGGTGACCAGACCCCTCAGGAATAGATGGTATTGCATCCTTTGGGCAACAACTTTCAAGGTGAGAGGCACTTGTGGTACATTTGCAACCCATCAGTTTAACATCTTTGCTTTAGTTTTTTTTGGTTTGAGTTGGAGTCTCACTGTGTCACCCAGGCTGGATTGCATTGGCACTCTCATAGCCAATTAAGACTCGACCTGCTGGGCTAAAGCAATCCTTCCACCTCTGCCTTCCATGTAACCGGAACTAAAGGTACACTCCCACGCCTGGCTAATTTTTTGGATTTATTGTAGGGACAAGGTCTTGCCAAGTTGCCCTGTCTGGTCACTCACTTGGGCTCCCAAAGTGCTGGGATTACACTGAGCCACCCAGCCCAGCCAGCATCTCTGCTTTGGATGGAAGACTTCTCACCTGTAGCATTGAGAAATGTACCTACCTCCTGGGGCATGTATTGAATTTTTCTGTCTGGACAATGGAAACCTCAGGGACCACTTCTACTTTGTGTAACCTCCTAATAATTGATGTCCCTGAATTTCCATGACCTCCCAGACAAGTGTTTTGTTTCCCAAAGGAGCCAGCTCTCATGTTGTTACACCTAATGTCCAAAAACCTGTGTATTAATCTACATGAAAATAAGACATTGTTCATATCACACATTCCAATGGGTTTTATTTGGGATTCTCAAACATGAAATACTATGAAACAACTGAAAAATATGGTCAAGGAAATGGGATCCTATTACTGAACTTTGTGAAAAAATTTACCTCTTTAGAATTATGTTAGCTCATCGGCACCTTTGTAAAAATAATAATAAATGTGGCCTCCTTAAACTTGGCTAGATGAGAAATTGTAGGGAGACAACAGCACAACACTAGCATTCTTCATATTTTAAATAGGGCTTGTGGAGACAGTCTGTTTGGTAAAGTTCATGCATCTCTTCTGTGTCCCTTAGTATTTTCCTTCTTGTCCTTTCTGTAGGTATGGTTTTCTGATTACACTTTCCCACAGGTCTTCTATAAGGATGCTGTAACCTTAGAGTACATTTTTTTTTTTTTTAGTCTCACCCAGGCTGGAGGGCAGGGGCATGTTCCCGGCCACTGCAGCCTTGACATGCTGGGCTCAGGGGATCCCTCCACCTCACCCTTCCAAACAGCTGGACCTCAGGCACACGCCACCATGCCTGGCTAATTTTTTTGATTTATTGTAGAGATTGTGTCTCGCCAAGTTGCCCAGACTGGTCTCAAACCCATGGTCTCAGGCAGTCCTCTCACCTCGGCCTCCCAAAGTGCTGGGATTGTTGGTGTGAGCTACCGTGCCTGGCCAAAATAAAAGTCTGTTATTGCATCCCTTCTCTCAAAACTCACTATTTTTTTTTTTTTTTTTTT